AAAAAAACAAAAAAAAAAAACAAAAAAAAAAAACAAACAAACAAAAAAATCAATTTGATGACTGTTACCCTTGTGTTTTAGGGAGTTGTCTCAGAAATACTCCCAATACTTCTTAAGCACTGATGAGACACAGAATGGAGGTTGGAGACAGACCACACCTGCCTATGCAAAGGACATGGGACAGAAAGGAACTTAAGATAGAGGGGGTGTCTTGGTACTCAAAAAAGCCAAAGACATATGCCCTTAATCCCAGCATTCTGGAGGCAGAGGCAGTCGGGTGGCCAGCCAGTGGTCTACAGAGTGAAATTCTGTCTTAACAACAAAGTAAAGAAGCTGACGATGAAGGTGGCACGTGACTGTCACCTGCCACTCAGGTGCAATCACCATTGCTTCTTTCTCCCTAGATCCCAAGACAAAAGCCTGGTTGAGGAAACACGTAGACCCTGTGTTTGGCTTCCCTCAGTTTGTCCGGTTCAGCTGGAGCACAGCCCAGGCCATCCTGGAAAAGGAGGCAGAAAGTGTCACGTGGTTCGTGTCCTGAGCGTGCTGGGGGGGGGGGGCAGAAGAGGGAAGGAGGCCATGTTTGTTCACGCAGCTCCTTGGGAAGTGGCCAGTGTCATTCCTTTTCCCCACAGGGAGGACTCGGCTGCTGAGGAAGATCCTGAGCAACCAGGGAAGATCACATCCTACTTCAGCCAGGGACCTCAGACCTGCCGCCCGCAGCTCCCCCACAGATACTTCCAGGAGCGAGGCCTGGAGGCAGTCAGCAGCCTCTAGGAGTAAATATGTGTACCTACCCCTAGGAATGAAGCTCTTCACAGAGTAAACGCTGTGCTTTGTGGCTGAGGGCTGGCAGCTGACTCTTCAAACAGAATAGGTGTTTCTAGATTGGTACAGTTTAATAATATTTTAAAGCAAAGTTTCACTGTGTAGCCCTAGTTTGCTGGAACTCACTACGTAGACCAGGCTGGCCTTGAGCTCACTGAGATCCACCTGCCCCTTGCCTCCCAAGTGTTGGTATTAAAGGTGTGTGCCACCACCCAGCAATCAGGCTGTCCTTGAACTCAACAGTGATTCACCTGCTTCTGCCTCTGGAGTGCTTGGGAGTAAAGGTGTGTGCTACTGTGCTTGGCCCCATTTTAAATTTTTGTCTTGTTTTTCAAGACAGGATTTCTCTATGTAGCCCAGACTGTCCTGGCCTTAAACTCACAGAAGTCTGCCTTTCTATTTTCTCCTGAGTGATGGAAATAAAGGTGTTGCTAGGCAGTGGCAACACACGCCTTTAATCCCAGCACTCGGGAGACAGAGGCAGGTGAATCTCTGTGAGTTCGAGGCCAGCCTGGTCTACAGAGCAAGATCCAGGACAGCCAGATCTCTCCAGGGGGTGTGGGGGGAGATAGACATGTATGTGTGTGTGAGTGTGTGTGTGTGTGTGTGTGTGTGTGTGTGAGAGAGAGAGAGAGAGAGAGAGAGATGCATGTAGATATGTCTCTGCACCACATCCATGCAATACTCAATGAAGTCAGAAGAGGGCACCAAATCACCTGCAGCTGGAGTTAGAGATGGTTTTGAGCCACCTTGTGGGTATTGGGAATCAGGTCCTCTGCAGGAGAGTCAGTGCTGTTACTGGCAGGCTGTCTCTCAGAGTCCTCTATTACCTTTCATGCTGTTGTAGTGGCGCACGCCTTTAATCCCAGCATTTGGGAGTCAGAGGCAGGCACACCTCCAAGTAAGTCCAGGTCAGGCAAAGCTATGAGAGACCCTGACTCGAAGCAGAAATTGTTTGTTTATTTGGGGGAAAGGCACATGAGTGCCACCACAGATGTGGAGGTCAGAGGACAACTTGCAAGAATTGGTTCTTTTTGTTGTTGTTTTTGTTTTGAGACAGGGTTTCTCTGTAACTTTGGTGCCTGTCCTGGAACTAGCTCTTGTAGACCAGGCTGGTATCGAACTCACAGAGATCCGCCTGCCTCTGCCTCCCGAGTGCTGGGATTAAAGGCGTGCGCCACCACTGCCAGGCAAGAATTGGTTCTTTTACTACTGTGTGAGTTCTGCGGATAGAATGTAGATCATCAGTTGGCCTGCTGGGCCATTTTCCTGGTCTCTCTCTCTCTCTCTCTCTCCTTTCCTCTCCCCCCCCCTTCCTCCTCCCCTATGAGATT